TGTTTGGTGGTCAGCAACACGCCTTGACTCAAAGTGTGGTGGATACGTCGTAGTTTGGCAGTTATTCTACGCACTGCGGGCGTGAAAGGCCTGTTAGCCGCCCTGTAATCCATCACACATTGGATACGAGACGCGTGTTGTCTCGCCAACATGATCTCAGCCTCCATCTTGTGTAAACGCCGTTCATTCTTTCGAATCGCAAGGCCGCTATTTCGTCCTTCCGATTTGGAAAGCGGTTTGACGACGCTATACACTATGAACCTCCCCATCCAAACAAGCCAGTTCTTTTGATTTCAGGGGTCCAATTCTGTAAAGCGCCCTGCGTGTTCTGATTGACTCAATTGGTGGCATGATGCGAGTCTCCTCCTCATCCGTGCCAACGGGTGGTAGAACTGTCACTTCTATCACTTCGTTAGCAGGCTGGGAAGGAGCTATATAGCTAATCCGCCGAAGATAGGATACGTAATCCCTAAGATTTTTGGGCGGAATAGGTGGCATGCTCCGGATGTGTTTCACACCACCCTCTCCTCGCGGACTCACTACTTTCGAAGCAATGTATAAGGCTATCTCTTGGCTCATGCGTCCACTTAAAGCGTCTGTTGTCATTGCCAGGGTTGTTATCGGTAGGTAAATCATCGTTATGGGCCCCACCACCTTGTGTCTGACCCCTCCGAGCGGATCGATTGTGGGGGCCCCTTCCTCGGTTACTAGGAACTAAATTTAGGATCTATCGGGTGGTTAGCCCTGTGGACCCACGGCCGGCACCGGAGGAAGAATGGTGTTCTCCTTCCCGGGTGCGCCTGGGCGGACGGTCCGATTTTGCACCATTTGCTCGAGTGGTGCACTCGAGTGTCGAGTGTCTATCGAGTGTCTATGACACTCGATAACACCTCCTATATACTTATATCCTGGACTCGGAAGTCACGCAGGTAGCTGTAGCTGCCTCCGTGGTGATGTTATGATATCCTAGAAATTCTAGGTCTCCTAATTGAAATCACAAATGTGCGGTAGGCTCCTGTTGGTGACTCCGTTCGTTTTGTGCTGTTTTTTCGTTTTTGACAACCAAATGTTGCCCATCTCTGCACTTGGCTATACCGCGCTGATGAGGCCAATAGCCAGAAACACGTGTCCGCGGTTTAAATTTATGTTTATTCAACAGATTTCTGAATTATTGTGGTTTATGAGTTCGTATTTTCTCAGGTGTAATGAAGTGGTTTATGATGCAATAACGGTCTGTTATGTTACTTTCGATGACTACAGGAATATTTTTATAAAAGGACTTTTCTGTTTTTACGAATATATGATCCAAGCGAGATTTCTCATCACCTATATTCCTAGTGAATAATTGCCTGCCAGGATGGTGTCTTCAACACCTTAGTTTACTGTACCCGCATGGTAGGTATAGAGATAGAGGATATTGATCATGTCTGCCGAGAAGCGCCTGAAGCCGTTATGCACTTGCTGTCGGCATGTCCAGCATATGCGGACATACAGACAGCTTCTATCCATAGACATAACACGACCTACTAGTGCTATATTATTACCATCTCCGTTACTCATTGTTGTTGCCTCATTCTGCGGAGATATCGAATTCGTTATGAGGAATGAAAATTGCTGAATCTATTGGGATAACCGGAAAAATAGATTTCAAACAGATTTTCATTCATTTCCCGTCATCAAGCCTGATGTAGTCCTCCTCCACCGTTAGAATAAGACGATATTCGTCGTGAGGTTTTCAGCTCTGGATGAGACGAATATCATCTGAGAAGGCGAGTAAAAACGGATGGAGTATCGAGATTTCCTCAAAGCCCTTCCTACTCTCGAATTTCAAGATTATGCCGACTTGCCGCACTAAGGCAGAAATCTTGGAGAAGGCAGTTATTTCCATGGCGTCCATTCAATGCACATGATTCTTGGACCCCATGATCACTCACCTCACGATGTAAAAGTGATTACTGGTTAAAGATGTGGCGCATCCTCCGATTGTATCGGTGCTTCGGAGCCCCGATACAATAGGCATTACAATAACAAAAAAATTGCACAGGGTTGACTGATCACCGCGAACAATAAATAGAAGAAATTGAATCGAAATGTGAATTTGAAAGTTATAATAAGTAGAGCATTTTCAATTTTTTCTGGGAACGATATCATTTTTTTTTGGCAGGCAATGGCGTTCAGATCGAAATCTAATTTCACGTTTCTATAGAATGAATGCATGCACGCACCATTCATGCATCATTCATACACCCTTCATGTATCATTCGTTCATCACTTATTCATTATTCATTCATTCGATCGATCGATGAACGAATGAATACATTCATCCACCCTTCTATCCAAGTCATTCATCATTGATCCTTGAGTCGTCATCAGTAGTTCGTTATATATTTTTCACCAAATTGATATCGAACATTCGATCGTTGATTTTTTCCAGCAGTTAACATTACCTTCAATTTTGAACCATTGATTTCTGGATCTTTTCTCGTCAAAACAGTCATAGTTTATATATTTCTAATATTCCAATTGCAGTTTATTCAAGAGTTTCACATAGTTATACCGCCTATTCCCTATAATGGTTTAGCAACAAGGAGAGAATCCAGTTTTTGTATTGAGTTGAAGTCACCGATACGTAGGTTTGATGAAGGCATTTGGCAGATAATTGATTGCAAGGAAAATATAAGTCTCCATTTACTTCAACACTCCTATATTTGACAAAATAACAACCTAATTAACCTCGACAAACAGCAACTATAGATGTAATAGAAAATCGATAATTCGATATGTTCTTGCGCAGATAATTTTCTTTCTGCACTATATCGCACAGAGTGAAATCAAGCAGTTTTTGTTAATTGGATGTGTCTACAGTTACAGTTATCAAACTAATCTGTGTAAAATATCTTTTTCAAGATTTCGTCTTGTGGTATTACTACTGATGAAAAGCTTCTTTCACAGCGATAAAATTGACTCTGATAAAACTGGCAGCCATGATATTCACTTCGTTCGATTGCTAAATCGTGAAGTTTTCGTAGAAAAATCAAATCAATTGAGAGTAATACTACAAGATGAATTTGCATTTTTTTAACAAAAACCTAGTTGTTGGCGTAAAGTTATCGTAGAAAAATCAAATTTATTGAGAGTAATACTACAACATGAATTTGCATTTTTTAACAAAAACCTAGTTGTTGTCGATACTACGTCTATGAAATTATCTGAAATTTCATGCGGTTCAACTTCATTCGAAAATATGATACAACAGTGTACGAGTATTTGTTATCAACGTCTGCAAATCTTAATTCGGAATAACCGTTTCATGAGAAATTCAACATTGAATAGTTATTCATTTCAAATTTCGTATAAGCTGTCTGTTCAAAAAATAAGTTGAATTTTCATTTTTCTCAAAAAAAAATATTTATTTATCAATTTCTATTTTGAACCATCCAAAGTAGTCCCCCTCAGATAGAATACACTCCTGTTAGCACTTTTTGGTATGTCCTTGAGCTCTCCCTGCAATTCACTTTTTATCCCCCTATTCATCGCAGAACGCCATCCTTTCATGAGTCTTTTCAAACTTGGGAACAGAAAAGAGTCGCAGGGGTCCAAATCTGGTGAATACGGTGGCTGATGCATGATTAAGGTGTTGTTTTGGCAAAAAAATACAAACAAGCAATGACGAGTGAGCAGGTCCATAATCAAGATGCAAAAGCTTTGAATTGTTTTCCCACAATACCGGACGTTTTCCGGCTGTTCTAAGCTCTTTCATTGGAACGATTGGGCTTTGATTTCGATGTCATAACCATATACCTATGATCCGTCTCCAGTTATGACCCTGCCAAACGCTTCTTGCCCAAAATTTTCAAAAAGTTGCATGGCATGAGCCAAACGATATATCAACATCCTCATCAACTTATCTAATACTGATTCGCTGATTTTCCATTTAATTTTTTTTTTCACTTTCTCAACATTTTCATCGGATGTTGATGGGCTGGGGCATTCAGGACGAGCGTCGTCCTTCACATCTTTTCGACCTCATGTTAAAAGCTTCTACTAGTTGTTAATTATTTTTTGACTCAGATTACAATCACCGTATGCCACTGTCAACATTTCAAGTGTTTCGAGCACAAAATCTGATGCAAATCCTTTGATCCATTTTTTCGATAGCAGAAAATCGCCGAACACGCAAAATGACTTCTTAATTTTATGCTTGTCACAAAAAAACTAAATACGCTAAACAGCTGAAACTGTGAACATATTCGCGAGTGAAACTACATAAAAAAATATAAAAAAATCGCTAATTGGATGTATGTAGTCTGCGAACATTCAACTAATTTTTTGAACAGTCCATGTAAATGTACTTTTTCAACTCCTAGTTTCACAATTCGGCTGAAATCCAAATAATATATTGTTTGGATTTCATCGTTATGAGGTAGTACCTTCAATTTCATTATATCTGTCTATGATAGGCAGATCATAGTTGACTATTAACCAGTATTTAGTGAACCAACCATGTACAACCTCAAATATTGAAGAAGAATACTCAACATCCTTTTTATTTCATACATTTTATTCCACAAAGAGCGGTTTAGGAACTCTTTCATTTGGAGAACTAAGTATACCGTTCTTAGAGCGCATGAAGACACAAATTCTAAAAATCATTGTTTTTTCGTTAAGAAAGCCCCAAATATATCACATGTACAAACAGTAACATTGATTGATATGGTTCGAAAAATGCAAATATTTTCAATTTCTCAGACAGATCAGTTTTCCACATTTTCAAATTGAAAAGTTCATTATATTTATTTACCTATGATTTCGAGTGTCCGTACTATTTGCTCCAAAATTCTTTGTTTCCGCGTTTTTTCTGATACCATAAATGAAATTTCGCTAGAGTATATAAACGAACTTTTTGCAAGAATCACTGTTCACTGTCAATTTAATTTAATAAAAAAATTGTACACATCATTAAAAGTTTAAATAAGAAATGAAGCAATTTTTCAACTTACTTGTTCGATTGAATCGAAAGGACCAGAATATTTTGGTCGATGCACTTGAAACAACTCCGTGTGGGAACTTATTGATGGATTTTTGTGTGATCCAGTAAAATCTTCCGTCGGGATTGGAAGTGACAACGCATAAGTGGAGACACGCGTATAATCTGTAGTGACGAAATTGAAATTATTGTTTATACATCCTGCTCATGATGGAGAGAAAAAACATTAAAACAATCATCAATTGCTAATTCGGCTATTTGAAATGCAAGGAACGTTTTGTAAGCCACTTAGGGGCACCACACACATGGAGGGCAGACTCGATAGTTGATTGTCTCGACTGGGAGTGTGAGCATTCGAAAATATCAGACAAAGAGATATTGTTCTTTTTTTATGAACATGCACAAGCACTACAGGAAAATCATTAAAAAGCTCTGGGAGTAGTACGTGTACGGAAGTTGTGATTTTTGTAACATTTGTATCGTTATAGATATTCATTTGAAAAAACCCTCTCAGTAAATTTATTTCCCCAAAACGCCGTTCTTTGAGTGAAATAGTATAATTCGGGATCTGTTGAGTTTGAAGAGATATGCGGCGATAAGCTGCGAACTTCTGCACTATATCGCACAGAGTGAAATCAAGCACGCTAAGTCAGTCGAACACTTTTCCTATAGGAAAGAGACAAGTCCTCCAACCATTCTCCGATGTTTTAGACTACCAAAATTGCTCGTGATGAATGGACCTTCAAACAAGCGTATGGTACTTTTCAAGGTAGTAATGGTGTCAAGGCATACTAAGCAGCGGAGCTTCATATATCTGAGTAATATTGCAAATACTCCATAATATGAGCCTTATAAGAATGAATAGTTGTTAGATATGTTTCTGTTACGAAATAGTGTTCCAAGTTTCTGAGTGATTGTGCCAAAAAATATTCAAATCTGACATTCAGAAAACTACTCTACGCAGATAGCAGAACTGTATACCTTGACGTCTTGAAAATAATGATCACATCCTCAAAGACAACTAATGCTTGGTATCCCGTGGCATTTAATTCGACTCGATTCCTGTAACCCCAAGCTGACATTTTCTCTGGATCTTCATCGAGATATAAAATCTCTTATTTTCACGAAAGATTTGCATTGGCAGTTGTTGTTCGGACATACAAATGGAAGGAAGATACAAGTGTGCTGTAGTCACCAAAGCAAAATATTGGATTTGTGGCCTTGTCCAATAGATCGTTTATGTACAATAGAAGAAGAGTTGAAGACACTAATAATTCCTGGAGAACACCAGGCAATGATGGTATAGAAGTTCGAATGAAAACCATTGGTGGCTACTTGCAGGGAATGGTCTTCGGGAAAACTGGGGAGCCACGAACGAAAGCGATCTGACAAGCCATGAAGTCGACTTTCAATTTATGAACTCCTGTACCAGACAAAGTGCAAAGCCTTGGAAATATCAATCGAGAGTCTTCGTGTTTTTTGGGATAGGGGGTAGCATATGTGAGAAGGCCGCCTATTGGTCTTTGCACTCGGAAATAATATTGATAATCACCAAAGATAACATACAATTTTGTAGGTACGTGTGGTTAATACCGGACAGAAAAACAACAGCTACCCCAGCTAATGCTGCGCAGAAAGCTGTAGTAAAACTATCAGGTAGCTGTGCAACGTCTTTCATCGGGTATCTGCTACACGTATCTACAAAATCTTAGGTCTCACATTAGAAGCAGGAGTTCGATATTTTCACCAGAACTTAGTCATATCGTATGCACCTCTCCGGAATGAATGGAATCCATGTGTGGATGTTGAATTCTGCCATTTATTAGGTCAGATTAGTACCTCTCGTACTGAGTAACCTTTCAATGAAAGCATTCATTATTATTATTATTATGTTCTAACTCCAACCCCAGAGTGTAGGTTGGTGGAGTTTTTTCTGAACTTTGTCTACAGGTAACACAGTGGTACATCCTACTGAATCAACTGCGGGCAGAGCATATGACTAGTTGGGATCAATTTTGTTTATAGGAATGTTGGCTTTCACGGCTGACGCCAATGTTTTGGATAGTTTTCGGGTTTGGCCGTGGTCTTCTTTGGTTATAATCTCCAAACGTTTCGAATGCAACTGCGGCAGTCATCTTCAGTGGCGTTGTCGAAGTACTCTTCTTGACGTGTCAACAGATATCTGCAGTTGCAGTCAAAAAGTTTGGAGATCATAACCGAAGAAGACCACGGTAAAAGCCGGAAACCATCAAAACATTGACTTTGTTTGTTCGGGATATTCAGATGGTTCATTTCGTCTGGAATGACCCAGCAGCCACTGACGGGAGCTGATAATAAAAATAATAATAACAATAATGGTCTTCATTGATTTTCAGTAACATTTTCACATCTGAAGTAAATGGGCGAGATTCAGTATGGCAATCGGCATCGGAAGGTGCTGGATATAACATAGTTGATGCTAATATTGGTAT